CATCAGAAATTGAAGAGGGCCTTTGTAGAACCCCTTGCCTTGCTGCTTTCTCCAATCAACATGACATTTGATAAGTGAGTCATATACAAACTGACACCAGTTCAAATTTTTTATGTTTTCTTTGTCCATCATAGAATAAAGAAATTTGAAATGGCATTGATTGTTTGATACACATTTCATCAAGCAGTTCACAGCCACTGCTAAAAAGTTAGTAATGAAATGTTCACTTGGTGGTCTGTTGTTGGTGAATTTATCATTTATGTATCCATTCACAATCTGCAAACAAAATGAACAAAACATTTATACTTTTGATCATTTAATGTATTTAAAATGAACATTTAAAACTGATCATACCTGACTCACTGATGGAGTTTTTCCTGACCATGATTTTCTCCATTTCTTCAGAAATTCTGCATACTCCTCACTAATTTTATCAGACTTTGGCTCAACAATTGGAATTTCTCCTGTAGGCAAGCCATAAACTACCCTAACATCCTCTACCTCAATTTCTATTTTTTCATTCTTTGGTAGTTCAAAATACTGGCTATTTTCTTCAAAACTTCCCAATAACCAGTTACAGAACTTTTGATCAAGTTGAGGTAAACTAATGTCAAGAAGTGATCCTAACCCTATATCAATAATTTGTTGTTTTTGGGTAGGTGTCATCTTTTTTATCCATGCAATGAACTTCACATGTCCTCCTCTCTTTGAAGATTTCTCTTCCTCAAATTCATCTTCCTGAATTTCCTCAACTTCATCAGTTTCTATTGCTTGAACCATTTCAGTTTTCATTTTCTTTTTTCTCCTACCTTCAATCTTTCCTTCATCATACAGTACCATCTTTTGCTCCTCCTTTTCAACCTTTGCCTTCACTGAATTCCCTTTCTTTGCCTGTTTCTTCCTTGGCTTTACTTCTTCCTCTTCCTCCTCTTCCTCCACCTCATAATCATCCTCACTGACAGGCTCTTCTTCTGCTCTATAAACTGACTCTTCACTATCATCATCACTGTCAGGATCTTGAGAGGGTTCATCTGATGGTACTTCTTGTATTTTTTTTCTCTTTCCAGCATTTCTCTTGGCAGGACTGACATCTGAAAATTAAATATATAATTTTGTTTAAGTATTGAAAATGTACAGTAAGCAAATGATAAAATGAACAAAATTGTTTTCTCAAATGATCATTCTATATATAGAAATTGAACATTTATAATATATCATTATATACCTGCTTTTCTTTTGCCAGCAACCTTAGAAGTTTTCTTCACTTCTAGAGTTTTCTTTTTCCCACCTATATATTGAAATTGAACATTAATGATATACCATCATAAATGATCATTCTATACATTAAGATTGAACATTTACCCTTTTTGCCTTGGTCTGGAGGATATTCAGCAGGAGCACCTGCCATTTTTTTTATTGGAGTAGGTGCTGGAGGTGGTGCATCAGCTTCCTTTTGAATAGGAAAATTCCTTGTAGACATTCTTCTCTTCTGTCCTATTTTTGCGGTTTCTTTAGCAGGCTCAACATCCTTCTTCAGGCTTCCCTTTTTAGATTCATCTAACAGAACATCTATTGTTTTTAAAAAAATTTATGTTAGTATATTTGAAAGTGTAATATTTATTGTGTAACAGAAAAGTATTATGATTACCTTGGCTCCTTGTAATTCTACCACTTGGCACAACAACAAGGCTTTTGTTTTTGTTTTTCCTTGCAACCATTTTGTATCTTGTTTTCATTTTGGTTGACTGATCACTTTTTTGTGATGATGGAGCTGTCTCCTCACTAAGTTTTGTGGAAACTTTATCATCATCTTGATCTAGAAGATAAGTTTCATCCTCAATTTGAACAAAATCAGGTGCAATTTGTGCTGCATATGAAATGATCAAATATAAAAGATTAAATAAACATTATTAAATTGGATGACAAAAGTTTACTATATACAATATAAATGAACATTTCAGGTAATGAATATGTACATTTTCCACTATTTACCTTTCGGATCTGTTGTCTTTGTAGACTCATCTTCCACTGTTTTCTCTTTAGGGATTTTCTCCTTTTCAGGCTCTTTTTTTCCCTCTTGTCCTTCTATGAAAATTTAATTAGTTAATATTTATATATTTTTTTAATCTTATTGAACATTCAATATTATGTAGATCCAATATGAACATTTTATGTAATAAAAATGTACATTTATAAATTTTTACCTTCTACATTTGTTGTCTTTGGAAAGACATCTTCCACAGTTTTGTCTTTAGGGCTTTTCTCTTTTTCAGTCCCTTTTTTTCCTTCTTGTACTTCTATTAAAATTTATTTAGTTAAAATTTAATTTTTTTAATCTTATTGAATATTTAATATTATGCTTTTCCAATATGAACATTTTTTGTAATAAAAATGTACATTTTAAAATTTTTACCTTTTTCCACAGTTTTCTCTTCTATTGGCCCTTTTTCTTTCTTTTTTGCTTCACCTTCAAAAGTAATAGTATTGTTAAAATTGATATTTATGACTATTAAACAAAAATATTCAATAAATATGATCATTTACCTTTCCTGATTTCCTTGCTTGCCTTTTCCATTCTTTTGAGATTTCTCATAATTCTGATTGTCGATTCTTTGTACTTTCTGTAAATGTATGATATTAACTTTGAAATATATTCATTAATTGATTAAATTAATTCAATTATTTAAATTTAAACATACTTTGGGTTTCTCTCTATGTCTAAATGTATTTCTTGCATCTTGTCCTTTAATGTTGTTATTCTTGAATCATCTTTGGGTTTTCTGATATTTCATTAAAAATATGTTTGAATTTACAATTTTGATTAGTAAATAAAAAAATGAACATATAACTTATATTACTATTGGCCATGAGCAAACTTTTTTGTACTGATTTTCAAATGAACATATAGTCTATCTAAATTGAACATTTAAGTTTTCTTACTTTTGGCCAAGACTATTCTTTACTGGATTGCTTTGCACTTTTGGTTGAACTTCTTCTTGCTTGCTGAAATCAATATTAAGAAATACTTTAAATAAAAAATGCACATAAATTGTACATAAAATATACTGTTATAAAAATGAACATTTGTTTATATAAAATTGATCATTAGTATACCTTTCATCCCTGCTCTCTTTGTCAGTTGTGTTATGTGTAGCAGACACACTCTTAGTTGTTGCATTAGTAGCAGGAATGTTCTCACTTTGTTCACTTAAAAAAAACAGAATTATTTTATATAATATGATATTAAAGTATGAACTAATTTATACAATGAAGAAGATAATTAGTTATTTTGTATAAAGCTTTTATACCTTATTGTTTGATTTGTCTCTGGTGGTCTTGATTTTGACATAACAAATTTCACTCGAACCTTTTTTTTTTCACTAAAATTTTAAGAATTACCTAATAAGTTTGGTATATATATACAATGTACAATAATTGAATGTAAAAACAATTATTTTATACATATAAACTTACTTGTTTAAAGTGTATCTTTCATAACTATTACCATATTCATTTTGTTGTATAACCTTCTTTAGAGTTAATGGTTCAGATTTCCCATCTCTAAATTGAAGCAAGTGTATCACTCTAAATGGCACATCACTACATTATAAATTAATTACATGACATTAGTTTGAATGCATATCACTGAAATGATTATTATCATATTTATATATGTGCATGATGATTTAATGAAATGTATATTTGTTATTTAAATCTCAATGACTACTCAAATGAACAAATATACATATATGATCATAATTATATCTATAAATGAACATTATGAGTATCAAATATGATCATATACAATGATGTTTCAATGAAATGTACTTTTGTTTTTAAATCTCAATAAATACTCATATGAACAAATATAAATATATGATCATAACTATATCTATAAATGAACATTATGAGTATCAAATATGATCATATACAAATAACATATTAAACAAAGATAAAACCAATTTTATCAAATACAACTAGCATATTAGACATGAACATAATATATTCTGTAAATGACTAATTACCTTGGTAGTGGAGACATTGTTAAATCCGTACCAATTGACTTGTCAATATCTTTTAAAAGTTCCGGATCTACAATTGGATCATTTTGGCGGTTTTTTTTCAATTTGTCTACTCTTGACTGAAGAGGTACATCATCATCATCGTCTCTGTTTTATTTAATAAATTGTTAATGTTTTAGTTATTTTCAGTAAAATCTTAGAACAATTACTACAATCGCAAAAAATTTTAACAAAAATTAGGTTTTACAAAAGTTAGGGTTCATACATTTCTTCAGAAATTTTCAACAAATTACTCGTCTGTGAAGTATTTTTCTCCAAAATCATACTACAATTGCAAAAAATTGAACAAAAATTAGGTTTCACACATAAAATCGCACTATAATTGTCATCGCAAGAATATGAACAAAATTACTTACTCTTTGGTAACATTTTGCTCTGATTTTCCAGTTTTATCTTCCATGTTCTTCTCTAAAGCGTTTTTTTTGCAAAATCACTCTACAATCACAAGGAAAAGAACCAAAATTATGCTTCATACAAAAATTGTACTAAAATCGTAATCAAATGAACAAAATTACTTACTCTTTATCAAAATGCTGCTGCGATTGTTTAATTTCATCTCGAATATCAGACATTTGAAGTAATTATGAAGTGTTTTGAAGCAATTTTGCAATAATTTGAAGAGAATTTCGTTCCGATTCGACGGTGTTGATGAGAGAGAAATTCTACAAAAATGAAGAAGATGGTTTTTAGAGAGAGAATAATTTGATATGGATAGTTTTTTTTTTTACTGTGGTTAGTGGGGGTAGTTACTGTAGTTTGTGGGGGTAGGGGAAAAACGCAAAACGCTGCGTTTTGTAGGGGGTGTAGGTTATGGTACCTACACTAGGGTCTAGTGTATACTAATTAAATTGTATGTGTATTTTCATTTTTCTTTATTGGGCTTTAATACAAGATTTTATCCCAATTTTAATGTACCACACTTGAAGACTCTTCCCCCCTTTTTAGTACGAAGAACGACCCCATTAGACTGCGCTCACTAGCAAACCAGACTAATTACACAAGTCTAAGGTTGAAAACTAAAAACAGTTAATCTAGACCATTAATTCTAATCTGACGGAGGAGATTAATTTCGTGTATTAGACATACACTCCCTTACTTCTTTCTCCTTCACGCATCTTCTCTCTCTAAAATTTCAAGCAATTCTCTCTCGCTTCATGTTTTGGATGGAAATTCTATCATCAAATTGGTAAGTTTATCAATTTCATCATCAATTTCTTCGATTGTTTAAATGTATATTTTCAATTTATTTTATTATTTTATTTTTTTCGGTTTAATTTCTTCAATTATGGTTCGATTTTTCGGCTTTAGTTTTCACTTTTTGTTTGATTTTACGGCTTAATTTGTTCAGTTGTGTTAGATTTTTTGTGCTAAGTTTTATTAGTTTGATTTCGATTATTCAGCTTAAATTTATCAGTTTTTTGCTCAATTGTGTTAGATTTATTTTACTGTATGATTTTTTCGATTTTTTTTGGGGCTTATGTGTTTCAATTGAATACATGTTGTTGATCTTATTGACATTTTTTGATGAAATTTGTTCAGAATTTAGATCTTCCGAGGATTGATCGGATTATTCGATGTTCGTTTCGTTCTCAAGGTTTGTGGCTTTTTTGGATTAATAATCAATTAGATTTGAAAATTGGAGATTCAAAAAAAAAATATACATATATAGATAGATATAGTTCTGAATTGCTGCAAATTTTTGGGCTAAAAGGATTGCCAGCTGCGGCGATTGAGCCGGTGTCGGAGGGCATTGTGTTGATGGTGGAGCATAGAACAATCGAGGAGAGAGAAAAGTGGTGGAAGATGGGATTGGAGGCCATCCATGCCGGCAAGTTGGCTGTCATCCTTTTGTCCGGTGGTCAGTTTTTTTTTTTTTTTTTGTTTTGTTTTGTTTTGTTTTGTTTTGTAATTCAATATGATATTATTTTCTTGTCAATTATGATTTTGCTGGACTTGATGAGGTTTTTCTTTTGTACTCTATAATTGTTTTTAAATTTTATGTGTCATGTATTGTGAGTTTGTGGCCCTTGAATTTATGTAAAATTGGGGGATTAGAGCAATCTTGAGCTTTTCATTGTGCCTTTTGCTTGGTCGGTTTGCTGTCACGGATTCATGGGGGAATTCGAGTAGTTTAGCATCTGTTTCTTGTGATTGTACTGCCTTGCATTTAGATGCAGAGTAAAGATGAGAAATAGGGTTACATGTTTGGAAACTAGCAAGCTGAACTTGGTGAAATTGTATAATTTCTTGGATTATATTTTCTTTATGTATAGTACTTTTGAGGCTTTATAAAGAGGCTTCCATTGCATATATTGAGGCTTCCATTGCAAATATTAAACAGATTTCTACATTTGAAGGAGACAGAAAATTGAAGTCTTACTGTGTAAGCTGCTTGTTTGTGTAATTGCCATTTGCTGTTTTTTGTCAATTATAAAATTCTATTTTGACATGAAACTATGAATGTAATTTGAGGGACTTTATTGAAGTTGCTAATGGAGATGCATCTGAGAACAAGAAAAAGAAGCAGAAGAAGAAAAGAAAGGAAAGACAGAGAAGGATGAAGAGGTTTCAAAAATAGAGCAAAATGCAAATGCAGAAGCTAAGCAGATAAGCAAAACTAATAAAGTAGTCAAGCAATCTAAGGAGAAGCCTGCCAGAGTTAAAACCTTTTTTAATACCCTTTATTTTTGTATATAATGACCTACATGTAAATATGGTCAAAATTGAAATAATTACCCTATTTTTGTATATAGTGACCTATTTGTAAATTTGTCAAATTAATATAGTTACCCTATTTTTTATATAGTGACCTCTATGTAAATGTGGTTAAAATTAAAATACTACCTCCATTTTTTTTTTATGTGCAACTTTGGTAGGCTTTACGGTTCACGAGGCAAAACTTGATAATGGTGATTATTGTATTATAGCCTTATAGGGGTATGTAATTAAGGTGGAGAGAGAATGTTATGAAAATTAATCAACCACCCACTGCCACCACTAAAACCAACCAACACCACCGCCGCCTTCACCACCACCACCATCTGCTTCACCACCACCACTACCACCCCCATGAAACCACCACCACAACCAACCCCACGAAACCAACCCCACCCTCACGAAAACCCATCGACGGAACCACCACCTCCACGAACACACACCAAAACCTAGAACAACGACCACCCACCAAAACCCACCGATGGAACCACCAAAACCCACCCACCAGAACCCAGATCCACGACCACCCACCAAAACCCACACACCAAAACCCAAACCCACGACCACCCACCAAAACTCATCAACGGAACCACGAAAACCAACCCACCGAAAACGACAACCCACGAAAACCAACCCACCAAAAACTAAACCCCCAACTCGAACCCCAAACCACGACCCACACCGCCTTCACCAACACCACTGCCGCCTTCAACGCGGGCCCTTCACCACTACCAGTACCACCACTACCAACCCCACGAAACCACCACCACCCTCATGAAAACCCACGAAACCGCCGGTTGAAGTTGAAGAGAGAGAAAGAAGATCAATGGGGGAAGATGAGGATGACAGGGGAGAGAGAAAATATGGGGGAAGATGAAGATGAAGATGAATGAAGATGGTTTTGAAGAGGAGAGAGAAAATATGGGGGAAGATGAAGATGAAGATGAATGAGGATGGTTTTCGGTTTCTTGAATTGAAGATGAAGAGTTGATGAATTAGATTGGGTTGGTTGGGGTGAAAATTGGGTAAGAATTAGTGAGTAATAAAATCCGATTATAGTTAATAAATTGTGTTTTAATTTTTTAAATGAGGGTAAATTGACATTTGACTTTTTTTACTAAATATAGAAAGAAAAAAGAAAGTTGCACATAATAGTGAGCGGACTAAAATGGCAAAAGTTGTATATAAAAAAAACGGAGGTAGTAGTTATCCTATTTCCTTATACAGTGACCTCTATGTAAATGTGTTAAAATTGATATAATTGCTTTTTTTTAATATATATATTGACATTCATTACTTTTATATATAATGACCTCTGTATAAATGAGTCAAAATTGATATAATTACCTTATTTTTGTATTAGTGACCTTAATGTAAATGTGGTCAAAATAGATATAGTTACCCTATTTTTTTTTTTTTTTTTGTATATAGTGATCTCTAAGTAAATGTGGTCAAAATTGATTTAGTTACCTTATTTTTTAATATAGTGACCTCAATGTAAATGTTATCAGAATTGATATAGTTACTTCATTTTTGTATATAGTGACCTCAATGTAAATATTGTCAAAATTGATAAAGTTACATTATTTTTATACATATATAGTTGATAAAATTGTGTTATTTTTTATGTTGTTATCTCTAAACCATTGAGTATGTATAAGGAAAAGTTGGAAAGATCATTTGACTTTTAAGCCGTTAGATCTTGTTAGTAATAATGAATAGTTGAGATTTTCTGTTTTTAGTTTTCACCATAAGCGCTGTTTCAACGGAACCTCTCCACACACGCACATATATATATAGAGATTGGATCTTGTGAAAACAAACCTAAAGCTAAAAATTGAAAACAGATGATCTTGACCATTGAATTTTCATCTGACGGATTAGATTACATTCGCGTTATTTGTAATCTTGACCGTCCATTCTCTCTGCTCTATTTTTATCTTTCTTCAGTCTCACGATCTCACTGTTTCTCTCTCCTTCTCCCAAAACATCATCAAATTTCAGAGGAATTTGCTTCAATCTTCATCAATAATTTGCTTCAATCTTCATCAATTTCGTCTTTAGCTTCAAAATTAAACCTGAAAAGAACAATCAATTATCTGAGTTGATCATTTTCGTCGCTGAATATTCATCCCATTGAAGCGAGTTTTGAGCTTTCTCCTTCATTGAAGCGAATTTGAGCTTTCTCGATCCTCCATTGAAGCGACTTTGAGCTTTCTTCTCCATTGAAGCGGCTTCTCAGGTAGTATTTCTTAAATTATCGACTATCAATTTCACAATCTAGGGTTATTTGCTCGAATTTTTTTGTTATGAAATATAAATTGTTGTTTGGATTCGAAATTTGTTGTATAGCATGCGAATTTTGTCGATTCAAGCATTTAATTGTTTTTAGATTTTATGTGTCATGTATTGTGAGTTTGTGACCCTTGAATTTATGTAAAATTGGGGGATTAGAGCAATCTTGAGCTCTTCATTGTGCCTTTTGCTTGGTCGGTTTGTTGTCACGGATTCATGGGGGAATTCGAGTAGTTTAGCATTTGTTTCTTGTGATTGTACTGCCTTGCATTTTGATGCAGAGTAAAGATGAGAAATAGGGTTACATGTTTGGAAACTAGCAAGCTGAACTTGGTGAAATTGTATAATTTCTTGGATTATATTTTCTTTATGTTTAGTACTTTTGAGGCTTTATAAAGAGGCTTCCATTGCAAATATTAATCAGATTTCTACATTTGAAGGAGACAGAAAATTGAAGTATGCCGATCATCATGGTTTTCCCGTAATTACACTTATTGACACGCCAGGAGCTTATGCTGATCTCAAATCTGAGGAACTTGGTCAGGTGATTAGACAACTACTAGTTTATTTTAAGTTTATATTGATTGAACCTGTGGTAATATGAGGATGAAATGATTTGTCTCTCTGAGCACAGGGTGAAGCTATAGCTCAAAACATAAGGTCTATGTTTGGACTGAGAGTTCCTGTCATCTCAATAGTCACTGGTGAAGGTGGTTCTGGGGGAGCTTTGGCCATCTGCTGCTGCAATAAATTGTTTATGCTTGAGAATTCTGCTTTCTATGTTGCTAGGTTTTCTTCGCGTCTATTGTTTATTTTTGGTTTCTTATTATTGTTCAAATTCCTTCATCATTTTCCAATACATGCTTACCTTATTATTTCCCTTTTGACATTCCTGAAGCATGCGTTGCAATATTATGGAAATCTGCCCAAGCAGCCCCAAAGGTATATGAATTTTTCTCTTGCTAGGTAGTTAATAAGCTTTCATGGGATACAACCTTATTAATTGCAGAAGAATCTATCTTTTTCATGAATAGGCTGCTGAAAACATGAGGATAACAGCCAAAGAACACCTTCGGCTAAAAATTGATGATGTTATCATTCCTGCAAGCTTTTCTAAATTCTCAAATTTCTGCCTTAAATCAACATGATTTGTTTGGACACTTGGAATGCGTTCATTTGGACTGCATGCTTATTCCACATAATTGGCAGGTGTGATACTTTGTGTTCTTTGTGTGATATTCTTTCTGATTATTTGTCTCGAACACTCTTCTTTTTTCTTTTTGCTGTTATTCTGAAATGTTGATTTGAAGCAAATTTCTTGTAGAGACATACTTCGTATACCTTAAAAATATTTAGGTCTAAATTATGTGATTTTGCAGATTGGTGAGTGTGTTGCTAACTGGTGGAGGCCCAATTTTGAAACAGTGATGTATCCCTACTGCCCTCCTCACATCACAATGAGTTAATAGCTATCACAATGAGTTAATAGCTATGGAGTATATTGTTTCTGTGTGCTGGAAGCCTATTAGCTTAATTGGTCGAGCATTGTGCACTTGCATTGCACATGATGTGGGTTCGAATCCTACATAGGCTTACATGTAGTGATCTTTTTAAAATGTAGTAAAAATGAATATAATTAGCTTATTTTTATTTATAACGACTTTTATAATTACCCGAAGTTTATATATAGTTACCTTATTTTCGTATATAATGACCTTTGTGTAAATGTCATATAGTTACCTTATTTTTATATATGATGACCTCTTTATATATATATATATATATATATATATATATGTGCAAGTGTTATCAAAATAGATATAGTTACCTTATTTCTATACATAGTGACCTTCGTTATTTTTATATACAGTGGCCTCTGTATAATGTGGTCAAATAGATATAGTTACCTTATTTTTATATATAGTGACCTTCGTTATTTTTATTTTTATATATAGTGGTATCTGTATAAATGTGGTCAAAATTGATATAATTACCTTATTTTTGTATATAGTGACCTTTATGTAAATGTGGTCAAAATTGATATAATTACCCTATTTTTGTATATAGTGACCTCTAAGAAAATATTTTAAAAATTGATATAGTTACTTTTTTGCTTTTGTTATAGAATGGGACTTCAGAAGAGGTGGTGAAGATAGTAGAAACTCTCAATGTAGGTGAAGGTCATGAAAAGGTAAGAAAAGGAATCTCACATACAAGAACGAGACTAAATTGCTTGAGCATTTTGTGTAGTTGTATAAATTGCCACCTCATGTATGAAGTTTGGCATGTTTTTAACACTTTGCAGCAACCAGCCTAGATTTATCAATTTGCCAAAACAACATGAAGAGAACTGATTACGTTTTTGTAGGCGACGGAGAGGAGTATGTGGTTGTTTTCGACATGGCCTGTAAACTGTCCCCGTGTCGGTGGGAAGAATCAAATCGAGGGGAAGAAGAGCAAGAGAAGAAGAGAAAGAAAAACGAAGACCAAAGGGCAAGTTTAAAGAGAAAAGAGTAAATTTCTGCAGTTTTAATAGGAATATTTGGATTTATTTTGGATATTTGAGAACATTCCTGCAGGTTAATAGAATTATTGATGTGCTGTGGATACGATATCTGTCTCCTTTCTCTTTCTTGTTCTAATTGGTTCAATTTTCATCTCTTCTATTAGATTTAACCTGTTATATGAATGTTGACTGTTTTTGTTTTGTTTATTTCTCCTCTTTTTTCCTTTTTTTTTTGCCGTTATTTTTTTTTCTTATCCTCCAGTTTCTCTGTTTTTTCTCTAAAAT